CCGGGAATGTTCCCCCGGAAAGGCTCACCCGGGAATGCCGCCGGCCTCCATTTTGTTGGCGACGGTGACGTCGGTGGACCAGACGTCGTACTGCCAACGCTTCTGGCCCAGCACCCCCCCCCAGCACCGTCCCGCTGTGCACCCCGACCCGCATGTCCACCGCCGTCCGCGTCCGAGCGCGGACAGACCTGCGGGGACACCGGGAATAGGGGCGGGAATACAGGGAATGTGGTGGGAACACCGGGAATAGGGGTGGGAACACCGGGAATAGGGGTGGGAGGGAGGAGAAGGAACAAGGAGAAGGTGGAAGGGAACAACATTCCCAACCCCTTCCTTCCCCAACATTCCCAAACTCTCCTTTCCCAACATTCCCAAACCCCCTCCTTTCCCAACCCCTTCCTTCCCCAACATCCCCAATCCATCCTCTCCCAACATTTCCAACCCTCTATTTTCCCAACATTCCCAACCTCCGCCTTTCCCAACCTCTTCCTTTCCCAACATTCCCAAACCCTCCATTCCCAACACCCCCAATCCATCCTTTCCCAACCCCTTCCTTCCCCAATATTCCTAAACCCTCCTTTCCCAACCCCTTCCTTTCCAAACATTCCCAATCCACCCTTTCCCAACATTCCCAAACTCTCTCTTTTCCCAAAATTCCCAACCCCTTCCTTCTCCAACATTTCTGAACCCTCCTTTCCCAACCCTTTCTTTTCCCAACATCCCCAATCCATCCTTTCCCAACATTCCCAACACTCTATATTCCCAAAATTCCCAACCTCTGCCTTTCCCGACCCCTCCTTTCCCAACATTCCCAAACCCTCCTTTCCCAACCCTTTCCTTTCCCAACATCCCCAACACTCTATATTCCCAAAATTCCCAACCTCCGCCTTTCCCAACCCCTTCCTTTCCCAACATTCCCAAACCCCCCTTTCCCAACCCCTTCCTTTCCCAACATCCCCAATCCATCCTTTCCCAACATTCCCAAACCCTCCTTTCCCAAACATCCCCAATCCATCCTTTCCCAACATTCCCAACCCTCTATTTTCCCAACATTCCCAACCCCTTTCTTCCCCAACATTCCCAACCTCCGCCTTTCCCAAACACCCCCAATCCATCCTTTCCCAACATTCCCAAACCCTCCATTTTCCCAAAATTCCCAACCTCCCCCTTTCCCAATCTCCCCTCCTCCTCCAACATTCCCGACTCCCTCCATTCCCATCTCTATTTTCCCATCCAACCCCAACATTCGTTATCCCAGCGGGAATACGACTCCGACTCCGTGTTTATCCCATTAATCCCCCTCCAAGCCGCATCTCGGGACCTCCCGCCTCCGGAATTCCCGGAATTCCTTACGAGATGGCCTCCACCATGGCCAGCCCCATCATGATGGAGCACACGGCGTGGTCTTCCCGGAATTCCGGCAGCCCGCAGATGCAGTAGTAGCAGTCTCCCAGGATCTTGATCCGCAGCTGGTGGTGTTTCTTGGGAATGAGGAGGGGAATGAGGATCCCCTTGGGATCATCCCGGACCCCCCTCCCTCCCTCCATCCTCATCCCCTCTCTCCCGGCCCGACTTGGATCCACGTGGATTCTTCCCAAATGATGGGATTTTCCAGTCCCTCCCTGCTTTTCCCGAGAGATCGGCCTGGAGTCTGGCTCCATCCCGAATTCCCTCGTTCCCAGATCCTTCCTTTCCCAACATTCCCAACTTATAGTTTCCCAACACCCTCCTTCCACAACATTCCCAACCCCTCTGCTCCCAATATTTCCAATCCCTTCCTTTCCCAACATTCCTGAGCTTGTTTCCCGACCCCCTCCTTCCACAACATTCCCAAACCCTCTGCTCCCAATATTCCCAACCCCTTCCTTCCCCAACATTCCTAAGTTCTTTTTTCCCAATCCCTTCCTTCCCCAACATTCCCAACCCCTCCTTTCCCAAGCCCTTCCTTTTCCAACATTCCCAACCCCACCACTCCCAATATTCCCAACCCCTTCCTTCCCCAACATTCCCAACCCCTCCTTTCCCAAGCCCTTCTATTTCCAACATTCCCAACCCCTCCTTCCCTAACACCCCCAATCCAACCTTTCCCAACCCCTTCCTTCCCAACATTCCCAACCCCTTCCTTTCCCAACATCCCCAATCCATCCTTTCCCAAACTGCCCTCTTTTCCCAATATTTTCAACCCCATCCTTTCCCAACATTCCCAACCCTCTATTTTTCCCAAAATTCCCAACCTCTGCCTTTCCCAACCCCTCCTCCTCCAACATTCCCATCTTTATCTCCCCATCCCAGGCCAGGAATCCCCAAGATCCCAGAAAACCCGAACCTCCCCATTCCCATTCCCATCCCCAATCCTTTGGGATGTGTCTGCCCTCTGCTCCCAATATTCCCAACTCCTTCCTTCCCCAACATTCCCAACCCCTCCTTTCCCAACCCCTTCCTTTCCCAACATCCCCAATCCATCTTTTCCCAACATTCCAAACCCTCTATTTTCCCAACATTCCCAACCCCTTGCTTCCTCAACATCCCCAAACCCTCCTTTCCCAACATTCCCAATCCATCCTTTCCCAACATCCCCAACCCTCTATTTTCCCAAAATTCCCAACCCCTTCTTCCCCAACATTCCCAGCTACATCCTTTCCCAACATCCCCAATCCATCCTTTCCCAAGCCACCCTCTTTTCCCAACATTCCCAACCCTTTCCTTTCCCAACATTCCCAACGCTCTATTTTCCCTAAATTCCCAACCTCCACCTTTCCCAATCTCCCCTCCTCCAACATTCCCGACTCCCTCCATTCTCATCTTTATTTTCCCATCCCAAGACCCTGGAAAACCCAAATCCTTCGGGACACGTCTCAACACCTGAACCTCCCCATTCCCATTCCCATCCTGAATCCTTCGGGACACGTTTGAGCCTCCCGAACCTCATTCCCGGCTGGAATTTCCCGGGAATACTCACGGCCGCCAGCTTGTCGAAGCGGGCGAAGAGCTCGTTGAGGAGCTTGACGAGTTGTTGGGCGCTGCAGGACGACGAGAGCTGCGTGAACCCCACGATGTCGGCGAACAGGAT